CTGCCACGGGCCCCTCAGCTTGCGCACGGATCCGAGAGAGATGACGAGCTGCAGGCCGTTCAGCCACAACTCTTGTGAAGTTTGTTCCCAGGATGAGGCTCGGACGTAGTGAGACCAATATGAGCAGAACTCCTGCAGGCCCCACAAAAGACCTTCTGGCCATCCTCGCTCGAACGAGCAACCTAGCCGACATGTCTCCATTCATGGCCACCATGGCGCTGAGCAGGCACGGGTCAACAGCCAACACAAGCTCACGACGAGTGCATTTGAGAAACCGAAAAAAGAAAATGAAACGTCAGCTGATCTCTGCTGGCATACTATTTGAGCCCTTTTCGGAGACACAGTTCAGGCGTCTGCCATCAGAACTGGCGTCTTGTGAACATCCAGACAACCGAGGACGGCACAATGATGTTGGATGGCACTCCAGGCCCACCGTAGCCTGGCAACACAAGATAATCATAATCAGAATACTAAAACAAAAAAGCCACCCGCTCGGATTGGGATTAGCCGTCCTCCATTCAATGCCGGCCTGGAATATCGTTGCGCTGCAGCTTCTGCATGAGCGCCAGCCTGTCGTTGGCGTCCTTCAGCATTCCAGGCCTGCAGCCGTGATCTACAACCATTCCTACGTCGTAAACTGAAAAATCAAAACATGGGAAGCGACTCAAAGTGTGGACACAGGTGTGACCACTGTGTCGACTTCTGGGGAGCAAGCTGAGTTGAATTCGGGCCCATAGCACTGGCATCCTCAAGGATGCAGACACTGCTTCCCCAGTGCACTCTTGACAGATCCAATGCAAGGTGAAAACAAGCCATGCAGCCTCGTGGAGATTCTCACCCCCGATCGCCAGGTTGTTAGCACCACCAGCGCCCTCCCCGAGCTGCATGTCGCTCGTCGCCTCAGTGCAAATTTGCGAGGTGGGTGGAGTGCTCCTCAGAGCGACACACCAACCACATCCCATGAGGACACATCAACGCACCATGAGAGGAAGGAAGACGGAGAGGCGCAAACAACAAAGAGAGAGAGAGAGGGAGAGCGAGCGAGAACAGAAACCAAAACTCGGAAGAGGCAAGAAAGAAAATGAAGAGACCTGTGGCAACCTGGACCACGGAACAGGTACAAGAACCTGAGCCGGATGCAATACCCACCTTGAGCTCTTTGCCTGCCACAGCCCACGTCTGACTCAACCCATGCAGGCCCCTCCCCCCAAGCACCGTTTCAACGCATCCTCCTGCCTGCCAACTGGAAGCCGTTCATGGCTGTCATCGCCTCTCGCGCTTCCGAAGCGTTCTTGAACTGCACGAAAGCGAAGCCCTGGTCAGGGCTTGGCGGCTTAGGAGGTGGCTTCACTTTTTTGTCTCAGACATGGAGGCTTTACGATATTAGGGGTACCTTGTTGGGGTGGGTCTGTATGATAAGGGGATCCTACTACTTGGGGGTCTATATTAGTAGGATTAGGAGTCCCGTATGATCGTAAACCCCCATATAACCCTGCTCAACAACTCGGAAGCCCCGGGGCCTTGCACTTGTTCGTGTAAGGATCCCTGTGCAGATCAATGAACTCAATCTCGCCTTGGCAAGGGCCCAAAAGGATGGCAGTGGCTCTGCATCCAAAGGAGCGAAAGAAGCCAGAGGTTTCGGGTTTAGGGTGTAGGGTTGAGGGTTTAGGGTTTAGGGTTTAGGGCCTTTAGGATTTAGGGTCAGGGCTCCTATACTGCTCTTTATACTGCAACATACTGCCACACCGGAACCCTTCAGGACGCGAAGAGCTCATGCCAGTGCCGGCTGGGCTACCGGCTCGAGCTTACGCATATGTAAGCCCAGTGGCCAAACGGCGAGAACAGCTTCTTAAGCTCCTCCTCAGAAATGTTCGCCAGAGAGTCCGTGAGGCCTCCCACGTACAGGCCTCAGTGTCAAAGATATACAGTACAAGACAAGGTACCGGGATGTGCCGGGAGCTCCTTTATCGCGTTTCGCCTCGGCTTTTTCCGGCCGAGTGGCGGAGTGGGGTCTCGCGTGGCGCGGTGTAGTGGATCGAAGCCTTGGCGGCCTGGGCCGCTCGATTCTTCTCCGCCTGCACGGCTTCGGGTCGAGAGGGGTGCTAGGACCGCTAGGATTCGCGCCGCGTCTGAGACAAGGGACCCTCCAATCCATGTTCAGCCACACAATGCTGGTGTCGGGTCCAACCCCATTGTGCGCACCCTGCCTGGGATGGCTGCACACGAACTGCCTGGCGTGACAATCAGGGCAACCAGCAACTGCATCGCCAACCCAGCAGCCGGGTTTTTCCATCAGATCGCAGCGGAGCGACACGACATGTAATGGAACGGTCCTGACTGCGCACCCACAAGTCGGCGCGCACCTGGCCCTTGATCGGCTGCCCACTGAGTGCCAAGGCTTTCAGCGTAGCTTCCTGTCCATGGCAGCACGGCAAACGGACTCTGAGCGTCACGGATGCGAATTGCATCGCTTCGGTTACTTCGCCTTCGAGCACGAATCCCAAACACAACCAGCCCGCGAAACACCTTTGAAACCTTGAGGCAGTGGCAATTGAAACAACAGGAAGCGGCTGGGGCCTGCAAGTAAAACTCCACGTAGGCGAGGCCTTTCGAGCGACCTGGGCAGTCGTAGCTGCGTGGCAGTTGCGTAGCTCATCGCAGCTTGTGATGGGTGTCTACGTGAGGGTCCCTTTTGATGGACCTTTTGAAAAGTGCTTCCAGCATAAGTTCTCCATAAGGGGACCCTGCCCTGGCAATGTCTAGCCTCGGACTCCACAGGGTGCATCAGCCAAAGGCCCTCCCTTGCCCCTGCCTGTACGTGCATCACGGATAATTTGCACATCTCGCACCTGTCCACAACAAGAGGAAGCAGACATGACAGCATGCCATGGCAGGGTGTGACAGGTGGGAACTCTGCAGGCATCGGCACCTTGCCAGCATTCTTTGAGAAGAACTCATAGACATCGCGCTCGTCAGCCTCAATTTGGAGCATTTGTTCTGCTAAGCGACTTGCTGAATATGATGTTCCACCATGTATGACACAGCGCTTCACAGAGGGCAAGAGCAATCGAAACATAGCGATTGAGGTTGAGAAGGCGCTATACCGGTCCGGCCTTGTGGTGTAAGCATACAATCATGACCTCAGCAAGTCGAAGTCATCATTGCGCACAGGCTACCATCAGTGCCTGCATCTTGCGGTTGAGATGCTGTGCGATCGCCGCGCGTCGCATCCTCAATCTGGCGCCTTCGCTCCTGTCAGAGCTGCTTTCCAGTGCTCAAAACACGCCGTTGAAACTGCCCCCCGGACTGCTGCAGAGCGAGCCCTGCAGCCATCTGCCTCCTCCTCTTCCTGCCGACGCTTTTCCTCCAGCGGAAGCGGTCTGTTTCACACCAAATGCGCAACCCGATCCCAGCCAGCCCAGCCTCCATCTCACGTTCTTTCTCCAGGCGCCGCGCCTCACGGCTGCGGCTTCGTGAGCGGCCCCGGCGCGCCGAGCGCGATCGAGTCCTGAAACATGAGTTTTGAATGTTCTTCGGAGTAACAGCATCAGTTCCAGCACCAGTACCAGTACGCATGAGTACGAGTACCAGTGCTAGTAGTAGTAGTAGTAGTAGTAGTAGTAGTAGTAGTAGTAGTAGTAGTAGTAGTAGTAGTAGTAGTAGTAGTAGTAGTAGTAGTAGTAGTAGTAGTAGTAGTAGTAGTAGTAGTAGTAGTAGTAGTAGTAGTAGTAGTAGTAGTAGTAGTAGTAGTAGTAGTAGCAGTAGTAGTAGTAGTAGTAGTAGTAGTAGTAGTAGTAGTAGTAGTAGTAGTAGTAGTGGTAGTGGTAGTGGTAGTGGTAGTGGTAGTAGTAGTATAGTAGTAGTAGTAGTAGTAGTAGTAGTAGTAGTAGTAGTAGTAGTAGTAGTAGTAGTAGTAGTAGTAGTAGTAGTAGCAGCAATAGTAATAGCAATAGCAATTGTAAGTGTAGTAATAGTAATAGTAATAGCAATAGTAATAGTAATAGTAATAGCAATAGTAATAGTAATAGTAATAGTAATAGGAATAGTAATAGTAATAGTCATAGCAATAGCAATGGCAATAGTAATTGTAATTGCAATAGTAATAGTAATGGTCATGGTAATAGTAGTAATATTGTCATTAATCGTACTCGTACTCGTACTCGTACTAGTACTAGTACCAGTACTAGTACTCATTACTAACTACTAACTACTAACTATAACTACTAACTGTTACTACCTACTAACCACCAACTGCTAACTACTAGCTACTAACTACGAACTAGCAGTACTTGTACGAGTACTAGTACTAGTACTAGTACTAGTACTAGTACTAGTACTAGCAGCAGGAGCAGCAGCAGCAGTAACAGCAGCAGCAGCAGTAGCAGAAGCAGTAACACATTCAACAGATTCAACAGTAGATGCCTTTTGTTATGTCAACCTTCTTGTTGCTGCTCCTTGCTCCTTCTTGCTCCTTCGCTGAGTTCAAACTGAAGCACACGGAAGACGCGGGCTCCTGGAACGCCGCTTCTTGTCTTTTCTGCGGTCATCGTCATAATCAGCATTGGCGGCGCGCTCCTTACAAGAGTCAGCTGGCGCAAACTCGCTGGCGAACCCTGGTAACATGTCCCAGTCACTTCCACTTGCACGAAAAAATGACTCTTTCTTGTGAGACAGCCCGCATGCCAATATATGTGTAGAATGGAGCAGCTGCAGCAGAACCACAAACCATCGAAGTTCCCATGAGCCAGGTCTCAGCATTGTCCAAAAGCTGCTCGACTGCATCAAAATCGAGATCATCCGCCATGGCTGGAAATTATGGCCAAACAATATTCCCACAACACAACGCAGGCCAAGGTACTGCCTTGCGTACGTACCGAGGTATGCCATGAACACATGTGCACTCCGCCTCCCCAGCGATGCCAGAGCCAAGACCGGAAAATGCAGGAGTTGGAGATATGCCTTGCTCAGTAGACTCGGTAGAGCTGATCCCAACATGGCTTTCAAGCTTCACTTGCAAACCTTTTTTGTCGCCGGGATCGATTCTTCCTGTTGGCCTCTCCTTTCAGACGAGCATTGCGTTGTCGGGAGCCTCCGCATGAGGCAATAAGCTTTCGGCCAGGAGCACATCCCCCAGAAAATGCAAATCAGCAATACATCCCCCAAGAAATTATAGCTCTTGTTGATAAACATATTCTTCAATCATTGAACATATTTTACGCTTTTCACATTAAGTGAAGGGATCGCACATGTGGGCGACCTCCAGGCGCTTGGAAAAAAGTCCGCAGCCTGGCGAAGCAGCTTCCGCGCAAAGGTTAAGTTGACGGTGTGACACGGCACAGTTTAAGGTTCAAAGTCGAGGGTTGGGGATTCAGGTGTTAACGAGGGCGTCAAAGAAATCTTGTGCAGGACGTGTATCTGGACAGCGAGAAAGGCCCTGAAATCATCTGAGGCCACAGCTCGTGAATGGAATGCTGCACATGCTGGAACTTGCCCCGGAAAAGGTCGACATTGCGCTTGAGCACCTTCCCGTGCTTCTCAGGTTTGGGCATTACGCAATCTCATCTTATGCCCCCCATGCCCTTCTCTCGTGGCATCGCAGAAGCACCCCATAACAGTATTCAAGCAACCCTGACCGTTTTTGCTTTGTTGCTGAGTTCAGAAGCCCCAAAAAAAGTGCAGACACTTTTAGGTTTATAGTCGGTTAGAGCATCCTAAAAGTGTAAAACGTACTCATTCAGCCACTAGGTTTGTGGATCGCGGCTGCCGCAACTTGCCTCGGCCTGGAGCAACTCGGCCCGGGCCACCATCGCACACTCGCGCTCAATCAAAGCCCGAACCTGGCAAAGGATCGGGTTTGAGGTCCCCCCCATGGCCCAACAAGAAACACCCCAAGAGGGTTTAGGGTTTAGGGTTTAGGGTTTAGGGTTTGGGGTTTGGGGTTTAGGGTTTAGGGTTTAGGGTTTAGGGTTTAGGGGGTCCCAAAATCGGGCGAACTTCCCTCCCCCCCCGTTGCCCCTCTCAAGGCCCCAAACCCCCCCTCCCCCGGCCTCGGGCTCACAGAGGGAAGCGTCAAGGTGGCTGAGACCCCGCACCAGGGCCATTCCTCGTTCCCTCAGCTTCTCAGTCCTACGGGAGGTAGGATGTTCCCCTTATACTAGCAGGTTTAGGGTTTAGGGTTTAGGGTTTAGGGTTTAGGGTTTAGGGGTTTAGGGTTTAGGGTTTAGGGTTTGGGGGTTTAGGGTTTAGGGTTTAGGGTTTAGGGTTGTCCTTGATAGGAATTGTAGTACCCCAAAGCGCGTACTTGCCAAGCTGGGTGCCCCGACGTCGGAACAAGGTACCTCCCAGGTGCCTTTGGCCTCTGGCTCGGCCTGCCTGAGGCTTCAGGGTATTAGGGTTTAGGGTTCCCAGTTTAGGGTATTAGGGTTTAGGGTTCCCAGTTTAGGGTTTAGGGTTTAGGGTTTAGGGTTCGGGGTTTAGGGTTTAGGGTTTAGGGTTTAGGGGTTTAGGGGTTTAGGGGTTTAGGGTTTAGGGTTTAGGGTTTAGGGTTTAGGGTTTAGGGTTTAGGGTTTAGGGTTTAGGGTTTAGGGATTTGCATTGGCGCGGGGGGCGGGGGCGGTTCCAAGGCACCAGGGTTCTAACTCAGGAGTCCCTGTTCGAGAGCCCACGAATCTCCATTGGGCCTCACCAATACAGACGTCTACACCCTAAACCCTAAACCCTAAACCCTAAACCCTAAACCCTAAACCCTAAACCCTAAACCCTAAACCCTAAACCCTAAACCCTAAACCCTAAACCCTAAACCCAAACCAGCACCAACAGCTCCAGCAACTCAGGGCTGCCTCGCTTGCGGCCGAAGGCACCCACCTACAGCAGCATGCATCGAAGCTTTGCTATTCACTTTTGAGAACATGAGACAGGTGGGTGACCTGAGGTGTGGAACTTGTAATGTGGAAGTTTCGGGTTTAGGCCTACTTTTGAGGCCTTCATCACCTCAATGGGTGCTCCGCTGCCGTCGCAGAGCTGGACGTAGCCGCGATCCTGACACACGCAAAAGGCATCGAAGGATGTTTAGGACAATCTCGAGATATCTCGAGCAAGTAGAATGCCAAGCAGCCGGGCTCTCTGAGCGAATCCTTGTGTGCCAAGAAGCAATGAACTCCAGCGGCCTGGATGGTCTGGATATGTTGCGGGATCGACGCGTCTGTGCCAATCCCATTCCTGGTCAGGCTGGCTCCACTGTGTTTTCAGCTGTTTCCACCTGAAGTACTAACCAGCCCTGCCCCCGTCACCTGTCCATCAGGTCCACAAGCTCTGCCTCTGTCAACCTTTCAGTAGTGGATCGGTCAGGTCAATTGCTGCCGTTCCTCTTTGTCCAACCCTCCTAGACGAGATAGCTGTTAAGAACTTGCTGCGTTGTGCTCCAAACACTTGCTTAGGACATTCTCGCAATGAGCAGCTTGAAGGCGAGCCTATGTCACTGCGACGACATCCGAGCTTCCCGCGGCAGTGGGGGTGCTGTCCTGCAACGCATGCACCTCTTCACGTGCCCTTGCTGCACAACCTGGACCTGCCATGCAAAATCATAGCCCCCCCCCCCCCCACCCGTCCAGGACTCTTCCAAGTTCCAGTTGCTGATGTCTGCCGTGCCCTGCATTGCCAAGCAACACCATAACAGTGGCACTGTAACGTGTTGCAAAAATACTCGACTTCTGAGGGACGGTTGAGAGAAACGACCCCCTGTTGCTTCCAGGCCTGGTTAACCAGCTGCTCCAGGCAATCCAGACGCTTTGTGCCGTCCTGGCTTCAAATCAGTAGGGTGTGAAGAACCTGCTCACGTCTACTCCTCGCCACCTCCCATGACAGAGAAGCGCGCCTCCAGGCAGAGTTCGTCAATGCGCCATGGCATGGCCTTAAAGCTCTGCAGCAAACCTCTCATGCACATTCCCGTCCGAGTGAAGAAGCGAATCGCCGCGCAGATTGGGATGCGCGAGACTTGAGAATGCCACTTGAAGCCAGCCACGGTCTCTGGGCAGCCTCAAAGACAGCAACCCCAAAGAACACACCCTCAAACTCCAATCCTGTCCATCGCCTTCGCAGCACGACTTCGAAGTCGAAGTCGCCAATGCTGAAGCACGCCTGGCACCAAAGCCAAGATGTCTCAACGCGGCCCTTGTCTAAATAACCCACGCTGTTCCATTCTAGGCACTTGTGGGTAGACTGCGCTTCTGTCGCAGACAGGCTTCACACACGAGAAGCGGAAAGGACGGATGGCGGCGCACAGTGCAAAAGAAGCAGCTTCCACAAACTACCACCCCTCCGAGAAGAGATGCTCGGCTGATGGACTAGCACCCTTTTCGCACTCGCCACTTAGAGCTTGGCGCTGGCCATTCACCCAGTCTTGATGCTCGCAAAGAAGCTTTTTTAAAGTTGAAAGACCAGGACACGCAGCCTTTCAGCCTCCACTTGAAGCGAGACGTTGGCCCATTGATACTTGTGCATATGTATGTGTCTGTACGTCTAAATGTATGCACTCGTGCATGTATGCATGTACGTACGTATTTCTACAGGCAGATGTAATTATATATAAATCTACACATACATATACATATGTGAGCATACCTATAGATAACAGATATATCTATGCGTATATACAGAGAGATTTGCGTGTGTGTGAATACGCTGTGTGTCGGAAGCTGAGTGAGCCGGCAAGGGCTCACCTAGCAACGGCATAGCGGCTGTGTTGCAAGACGGATTCTGCTATATACACTGTCTTCTACGTCCATCGGATGTTCGCATCGCAGATGGAACTTACCCCTGACAAAGCAGGAAAATCAAGATGCTGCAGGGTGTCGAGCACAACTCAGACACTTGCACAGAGCACTTCTTCAACCAGCTATAGGGACTGGAGTTCACTTGTGAAGCAGGTAAAGAACTTCATCGGCTTGCTCAAGATACAAACATGGTGTCTAAGCGGTGCTCTGTGCACAGAACCCTGAGTGAAAGCACCGCCATGGTGATCAGGATGTGCATGAGTGGCCTCGTCACACAGCACACTGCGCGAGCATAGCTGTTCTGACCTTCTACCTCACAGTCCATCATTCCATTATTGCTGTCATTGCTGTGCAGTCCTCGGTGACTGAAAGCGCTATGGAAGTTGCGCGCGGCGCTCAGGCAGTAGGGGCAGCAGGGGCCTCCCCCTGGACACAGGAAAGGCCGAAAACCCCGCGGGGCCTAAACATGTGGAGCAGCTGACCCCTGAAGACAGAGAGTTCCTGCAGTTGATATCAGCCGACGGCCACATGTGGCGCACCTTCTCTGCCCTTGCTGCGGCCGCGGCGACAGCCCGGCTGCCATCATCCTCATCGTCGTTCATATCAACGAACTCGTCCTGCCCAGATGAGGGTGCAGTGGTCGAGGCTTCGGTCCAGTATAAAGCGGCAAGTTACATTGTGCATACATGGCACGACATAGTGGTGGCTGTAGTGACATGCGGTGTCCGCATCTGCCTTGGAAGCGCCACACATCGGGCACTTGAACTTGTCGTTGAAGAAGGCGCCTTCTCGGCCCCTGCACTGGAGCAAAGCTACGGAGCCAAGCCGTGGTGGCTCGTACTCAATCGCATTTCCCGAGGCCTTGCTGGGAACAGCGTATAGCCGCAGCTACTGCACATGAACATGTGCAGCTCCTTTTGTGCCTGCACTTGTTCAGGATGGGCAATGCTATGTGCCGAGGAGCTACAGCCATCAAATTCACATGTAGCTGAGATCATGTTGCTGAGATGGTGCCTCCTCTGTGCTGGCAATGTACTTCGAGTCAACCGAAGCACTCACCTGTGTCCACGCACATTGTAACTCGTTCGACATAATTCTGTCGCACTACTGTATGTCACAAGCGGGTCATGGTGAGAGCACCTGCGCCAGCTTCTCCGTGTTCCCTCTAGTGGTCCAGAGGCGGTAAAGCATGGAGGGCAGAGCCAGCCCCAGTGGCACCTGCGCGGTTGCGCTTAGAGACAGAGACTCTAGACGAATACGTGGGTATTGCCCAAGATAGGGCTGTACCACTTCATACTGTACTTCCCAAAACACTCTAAAGATTCCTGATTCCAGGAACCCCCGCAAATGAGGGGGTACCTCCCTATTGACGCGGAAACCCACAAACCCCATCCTGAAGCCCAGGCTCGGGCCTTCCACCACTTGCCTGTGAAAATCCAGCTACAGGCGATGGTGCCCGCAATGACGCCGATGAAAGCCACGTTGCGGGCAGCGTCGTTGATCTGCCTTGGGAGAGCAAATCCTTAAGAAGGCCACAAGAAGGCCCCCTGGGCCCGCCAGGGCGCAAGAGGACCTAACAAGACATCTAAGCACCCTGCTGTTTCTTAAAGCCAAGGGCATCGAGTTTCGATGCCTTCATTGCCAAGCCCCGCGGCCGAGCTGACAGCCCCCGGCTGACCTGGAGAGAAATGGAGAGATGGAAAAGAAACATATGGTTTTTGGGCACACTAATTGGCTTAAAAGGCGTATTTATGGCATCTCGGCAAATCTCAAGGCACCATCGCCTCGGCCCTGAGGCTGTGGGCAGTGTGCCGGGCTTCAGCAGGCGCCGCGAAGTTCGCAGCGCCCGCGGCGCCCGTGGCGCCCAGGCCCAAGGCTAAGGCCAGCAGCGCACAGCGGCCAAGCCGCCTGCCGGGGAGCCGAAAAACATCAGCCACGTTGCACACATTGAAAGGAAAAGAAAGAGAGAGAGAGAGAGAGAGAGAGAGAGAGGGATCGATTAAGTAAATGGCTTAGCTACAAGCTCCCTACGAAGTCGAAGAAATGAAGAGAACATGCATTGGGATAGCTAGTACCCGAAATCAACAAGGCGGCCTCCTGGATGAGCTTCTGGAGGTCATGGGAATCAAGCGTCCCCGTCCAAAACTGTGCACGCGGACTGTGCTGCTAAGTCTGTGTCCTTCGAGCCGAGATATGGGGGTGTCCGAAAGAAGGGGTGCCCTTTTTGGGGATCTCTTCAAGGGGATTCTATTCGATTTAGGGTATAAACGGGGTACCCCTATTTTGGGAAATATACCCATATGTGAAGACAAGCCAGACAAGCATGGCGGGACTGCGTTCACTCTGCGCTGACTTCTGACAGCTGGCATGCATGCCCTCCGAGGGCGCACCTCCCGTCTTTCCAGCTGCACATCACCAAGCCAAGAAGCTAAGAAATGTCGACCTCAGCATGTCTTGAGCAAAAAAGCGCATCTCCGGAGATCTCGAACAGGTCCTGAACTTGAAAGCTCAGCCGCCCTAAGCCCTGAAGTCTCCCTGAGCTTTCCTCATCCCCTTGAAAGAACCCTTGGGACCCTTGGGGCCCTGGGCAAACGAAGTCGTAAAGCCGCTTCGCGGCTCCGGACCGAAGTTCCTCGGAGGCCTGGGGCGGCTACAATGAAACTCGGGCCCAAAAGCGGCCGAACTTGAAAAGAGAGCCCCCCAAACAGTACATGCCAGCGAGAGCAGATGCTAAGCCGAGCACAGCCACTCTAAGAGGCACGATGGGGGGGTGGTCCCCCACATCTCGAGCCCTGTAGCTCTGCGCCTTCAGGTGGGAACCCCAGTTCCTGATCTTTCAGCATGAGCAGGGACGGCGGCAGCCTTGCCAGCCAGGGAACGCCAAGCACCAAGGGCGCGCACTGCCGCGCCTTGGAGGGCTGGGTTCTACTAAATCTATTAAAGTATTATTTCTTTCATAATTCTTATTTCTTGAAACGTTGGCTAACCCCTGAAACACAGACCATGAGAGGCTGTGCAAACAGAAATGCTTGATCGAAGGAGGAGTCGGGCCAAGGAGTATCATGAAGTGTCGAAGAGCCTGCATAAGATGTTCCCCAATATGCTAACAATCCTTAGTAGGGATTATTACAGGAGGTATTGCAATCCCTACTAAGGACTGTTAGTATATAGGGGAACATCCGACCCACAACAACCCTCGCATGAACCCGACCGCTGTATCCGAGCTGCGGCCCAATGCCGGGTGGCGGCTCAGGGGACGGAGCGAAGCCTCGCGGACCCAGAAAGTCTCAGAAAAAACATATGGGGGTTTACGCGTTTTAGGGGTACCTTATTGGGGCCCTTATTGTAAGGGGATCTTAGTAGTTGGAGATCTAGTAGGGGGTATTGGGGGTCCCCTATGATCGTAGACCCCCCAATTCTTTGGAGACATCTGAGTGGCAGTTCTTCACTCATTCATTTTCAGGGTTCCGAGGCTGAGGGATCCCCATCCCCAGACTAGTTCTCATGAGCAAAAGAGGCCTCTGCGTCGAAGGTTTCATGGTATCGCGTGGTTTCCTTGGAGGCCACGTGAGCACTTCTCACAGGATGCGCTTGGTAAGAGACGACCAGACACGACCGGTGTCCTACATGCTTGCCCCATCACAAAGTCATCGTTGTGAGGCCTTCGGCCAAGCGACTGTGCGAGGGTATGAGATGATGCCAGCAGAGTACAGGTCCTGTCGCCAGCGTAGGTACGTCTTTGAAGCAGGCAGCCACCCAAACGTTTTGGTCAACATGGAGGCAGGAGGTTGTTCTGCCTTAACATGCCTTTCAGCACAGGACTGCTTGTCCGATTTGTCCGCTCACCCCTTTTCGAACGGCTTCCGGCAAAATCCTTGACATTCCTCCCTCGCCCCCCCATTCCTCCCACCCGCCCTCCCACCCGCCCTCCCATCCACGCCCTCGCCCCCGCCTGCCCGCCTCCCTCCGCTTCAACCCGCCTGGGGCATCAGCTGCTGGGGTTGAGAGCTGCTGAAAATAGCTGTCACAATGGTTCCAGCGAATGCTCCACCAAATGCGGTGAAGCCGCAAATTTTGTATATGTGCCCGCTGATGCTCATGATGCTGGCGCGCGTGCCCGCCCACGCGCTGCATCATGAGCATCAGCAGCTTGTGTCTGGGAACCAAAATGCGACTTCAAGACCCTTTAAACCCCTGACCCTTACACTTACACCCTTAAACCCCCAAGCCCACGAGCCAACTTCTAAACCAAAGTCCCTCCACCCCTCAACCACTCAAGACCTATAGCCTTAAAGGCCTAAGCCACCAAATGCCGAAACCCCGAATACCCACGAACAAAAAACTTAACCCCCGAATCCAAAAACCCAAAAAGAGAGTGAAGAGAGAGACCAGAGGACAGAGAATTGAGAGAGAAGAGAGAGAGGAGAGAGAGAAGAGAGAGAGAAGAGAGAGAGAGAAGAGAGAGAGAAGAGAGAGAGAAGAGAGAGAAGAGAGAGAAGAGAGAGAAGAGAGAGAAGAGAGAGAAGAGAGAGAAGAGAGAGAAGAGAGAGAAGAGAGAGAAGAGAGAAGAGAGAGAAGAGAGAGAAGAGAGAGAAGAGAGAGAAGAGAGAGAAGAGAGAAGAGAGAGAGAGAGAGAGAGAGAGAGAGAAGAGAGAGAAGAGAGAGAAGAGAGAGGGAGAAGAGAGAGAGAAAAGAGAGAGAAGAGAGAGAGAGAGAGAAGAGAGAGAAGGAGAGAGAAGAGAGAGAGAGAGAGAGAGAAGAGAGAGAGAGAGAGAGAGAAGAGAGAGAAGAGAGAGAGAAGAGAGAGAAGAGAGAGAGAGAGAGAGAGAAGAGAGAGAAGAGAGAGAAGAGAGAGAGAAGAGAGAGAAGAAGAGAGAGAAGAGAGAGAAGAGAGCAGAGAGAAGAGAGAGAAGAGAGAGAAGAGAGAGAAGAGAGAGAAGAGAGAGAAGAGAGAGAAGAGAGAGAAGAGAGAGAAGAGAGAGAGAGAGAAGAGAGAGAAGAGAGAGAAGAGAGAGAAGAGAGAGAAGAGAGAGAAGAGAGAGAAGAGAGAGAAGAGAGAGAAGAGAGAGAAGAGAGAGAAGAGAGAGAAGAGAGAGAGAAGAGAGAGACAAGAGAGAGAGAGAGAAGAGAGAGCAGAGAGAGAGAGAGAGAAGAGAGAGAGAAGAGAGAGAAGAGATAGAGATAAAGCAGAGAGAGAGAGAGAGAGCGAGATGAGAGAGAGAGAGAGATGTCAGAGAGATGTGAGAGAGAGAGAGAGAGCAGAGAGACGAGAGCCAAGAGCCAGAAGAGAGAGGAGAGAGAGAGAGAGAGCGCATGACAGCACACTCAGGCGACTCCAGCCTCTGCCACTTTCATGGCCTGCTTTGGGCCAAGGTTCAGCCTCAGCCAACTCTTTTCGCATTCCCGCTGGACAAGAAGTGGAACGCCTAGGAAACCCGGCGCATTGCTCGCGGACCGTAGAAGCTGGACAGTGTTGAGGCCTGTCGGCCGATGAAGCACCTCAGAACAGTGGGGGGGGGGGGGGGAGACTTCTGTGCTACATGCGCAGAATGGAGCGATCAAGGAGCTATTATAATGCAATACTGAAAGCTGTGAATATATGTATATATATATATGTGTACATACATATATATATATATATATATATATATATATATATATTATGTATGTATATGTATATATATATATATATGTATATATTTTTCAGCGCATATATATATATATATACATATTTTTTAAGAGGTTTGAAACGTCTGATTCACTAGGTAACCGAGCCTCGGAGCTGCTGGAACTGGACTTCACCCTCGCCACCTCGGCGGGGTAAATGTGTTGCCGCGGTTAGGCCTTCTTTTTGTCATGTCTTTCTTCTCCCTTTTTGAGCTTTGCTTCCTCGCGGTGTCCACAGAAGCTGAGCCTCTGAGCATTCGGCCCGATTGCGAAGAAACGTCTGCTTCATGGCTGCCGCCTGTGCACGGAACCGAGAACCAACGCTCGGTGCCATGGCATGCGCTGGCATGCGCTGGCATGCGCTGGCATGCGCCGGCCTGCTTCTCATTGTCTGTCCGCCCTTCCTTCCAGACCTCCGCGTGCAAGAACAACGACACTCTTCTCACCCTCTCAAAGGCAGCAGCCATGGAGCATCCTCAGAAAGCTGCGCTCTTGCTTCCCGGTACGCGGCAAGTCAAAGGGCTCCATCATAAAGCACTTCGGGAGAATTAACATGCATGCGCGAAGTCTACGTCTGTGCGGCTGCTGTTCCAAAGCCGTCTGGGCTCAGTCGCAAACGCGTTCACAGGTGACGAGCAAGGCGACGAAGGAGCCCAAGAAAAATGGAAACAATGCAGACACCAGCCCAGAGCTTTCTGCAACACAACGGGACCCATCACTACCACTACACGTATTTCACATGGTGATCCCTCGCGTACAGGCATGTGACAAGGGCAACACGGTCTGGTTATCTGGTGAAATCACTCCAGGCTGGTCATGTGTTTTGTGAGGGGACATTCGGCAGAGACGATGATGTGGCCTGCATCTGACTGCCTGGACTGTACATTCGAATGGCCGCGTCTCTAGAAAATCTTGACCAATTTTGGCCACCTGCACCGTAACTTAGAGAAGCGATCATATGAAAAACGTGTTTTGCAACGATATACGACATGGTTCACGTGCCAGAAGATCGAACGGAAACATATATGCGAACAGTACGGGAAAAAGCTGCTAGATAGACACGACAGATTCATCGCTCTCGGAACATTGATCAGTCGAGGTCTTGCCAACTTTGTTGGCAAGAACTCCAGAGACATCGGTTGAGGGGCGCTCCTGTGCAACTAGCGGCTTGAACAAATAAATGTCCAAAGCCAGAACAGTCAAGAATGGCAACAACGGAGTAAGACCAGCCAGGCTGGACGGATCTGTAAGGGTGAGACTAAGTTGGAAAGGGATCCATGCCAGCGCCATTATGCAGACGAGCACAGGGATCAAGCCAAACGCTACGAGCAGATGGGGCACCTTGTCCAGCCATGCAACACCCCTGGTCCAGAGGGCCACACTGCATCGCATTGCACACAGCATCACCAGATTCATGTGTGCCCAGTCCAGAACAGTGCGTAGGCCCCACAGAAGCAGTTCTGTGCCCACAAGGGGCGTGGTTGGTCCGGCACCCAGGATCCCAATGAACTCAGACAGCCATGGCACCTTGCAGAAACCCAGCTATCAGTGCATAAAATTAGGGGCCCGAGCTGGGGAAAGCACGATATACCAACCCCAAAAACTCCGCCTAACAACAGCCCTGTCTGGAGAAGTAATCCTACATACCACCCCGCAACATCCCGCAACTGTCCGCTGGCTGCTCATGCTCAATTGCGGGCTTGACGGAGAGGTGCCACAACTACAAGCACTTTTTGGTCATTTGTTCCGGACAGCTGTGTGGCTCAGCACCCGAACTACTTTTCCCATTCCGGCGCACCTGAAACCTAACGGTCCCAATGGGTGCGCAAGTCGGACGTGCCAAAAGAGTTCCCCCCCCCCTACTTGTCGCCCAAGCCTGTCAAAAATATTGTAGATTGTTTCTTATTAACTTTCTTATTGTAGTAAAACGGCTTCCAATTTACATCGCGTGGTCTTTCGATCGAACAGCAATCACAGCCGCGGCACGTTTCCCGAGACCACCATGCTGACGGCATACTTCAGAGGCAAGACCTCGAAAAGAAGGTTCATACTTGCGGGCCGAACTGCCACCCCCTTTGAAAAAATTTAGGACTGAAGGGGAATCGGAATCGGTAAAAATCAATGCAGCGGCAAGACCTGACCAGAGGCCGCTTGCACCACTTTCGCCGAGAACACGTCTTGAACTAAGCCGTTGAAAATCTCCAAATGGTCGTGGTTCTCCGCAGCATCAGATGTGCCATACCACTCTCTCCTTACTTCAATGCATTGAAAGACGACGTTCAGAAGTTTTGTCTGTGCACCCAAACAACAAACACCTGCAAGCCGTCGCCCAGCAGCAACGTGTTGAAGACCAGCGTGCGGTCGCAAGGAAGCTCTTCCCCACTTGTTGGATGGCAGTGGTTGTTGGAACAGCAAAAGCACTGCGCGTCCTGGATGCGGAAACTCCGCAACTGCGTTGGCAGCTGAAGGATGTTCTTCATGATGAACAGGCCCTTGTAGTAGTGCATGGGGAGAATGATGATGATGAAAAAAGGAAACAGGTGCCGCACGACCAAAATGCCATCGGATCCAAGGGGGCCCGCATTCGAACTGAGAACGTAGTAGACAAGCAGGATTGCACGCCAACAAACGGACATCAAGAACAGGAGGTAGCACATCCTCACTGGCATCATCTCGATGGGTTTTCGACGCTCTTGCTTCCTTGGTGATCCGGATGCCTATACAATGTCTAAAGTCGGAAGGACCTAAACCCGGAAGAGCCAAGCCTGCCGATTGGGGCGCCGGGTTTCCGTAGGTAGGTTGCCAGCTCGTACGTGCACCAAAGCCGGCCTTGGTTGCAATTGTGTGTGTGTGCTTTGTCTGCTTTGTCTGCAGTTGAAGGGCTTGAAGTTTTAGGAGATTAGTAAGCATGTGTTCCCCAAGCAGTGTGTCAGCACTAAGGCTTGCCAAATGCGACACCGTCGTCGCTTTTGGACGTCTGGGTTCGCCAAAGGCGCAAACTCTCCTGGCTTTTCGACATCTGGCTTCGCCAAGTGCGAAGCTGTCGATGCTTTTGGACTTTTGGGTTCACCAAATGAGAATCTGTCGCGGCTTCTGGACTTCTGGGCTCGCATGGTCTTTCACTGCTTAAGGTCCACGCTGGCTTTTTCACGCACCCCTGAAGGTGCATGCTGCCGATCACCTTTTCCGATGGCACTAACGCGACGCATCAATGGTTTGGGAGGTGCACCGTACATCCGCCGTCGACTCGCTCTCCGCAGATGTCACTACGGGGGTGTTTATCCATTCACTCGTGGAGGTTGTTACAGCGGTTGTGGCGGCGCTTCGTCAACGCATCAGCCATCTGCTGCTCTGTCGGCACCCATCGAAGTGTCTGCAGGCGAGTGTGCTCTTGCATTTTCTGTTTGCCATCCGTTTGAGCTGATTGGAGCCTCGATGTTGCAACACCAGGCACTGGCGGACTGTGGCCCTGACTGAAGTACTGTGGTGACCACAGGACCGTGAGCATCTGGGAGCGATCCAGGAAGCCTGCACCCAGGACGGAAAACATGAAGCTGTGATACTGATCGTAAGAAAGCTACACCTGCAGCGCAAGTCGAAGATGCGGTGACCAAACGAGGTGACCCTGGTGCTTGGCCACTGACTGACCCAAGCCGAATCATCTTCGCGAGCGGTCGACACTACATAAAAACTGCGGAACATCTATTTCCATTTTGGATCATTTTGGGGCATCTTCCTGTAGCTGGCCGTTAGACCCTCTGCCTGCGAGGCCCTGGATGCCCTTCGCTTTAAGCTCGGGGTCCTCTTGGTCGATGCAAAGCTTGTCGAGGAAGACAATTCGCGGCTTGTACATAAGCTCGCGAATTGGCTGCCAAAACAGGAAAAAGGCGTAGAAGGCAACATAGCCAAAGGCCACAGTCCACATCTGATTGGGAAGCACTCCGTAGACACGCAGCATGCCGACGATCACGCTGACGATCAGACTTGCAATCGCCGCTGCCCGCGAATTGAAAAGCACTAGCAGGGAAACGTATTTCAACCAGCGGGGCGTCCTCCAATCGTGGCCTGAGGTGGCTTGTGGCTTGCAAGATCTTGCATGGTGCAGCTTGTGAACTCCACAGCACTCCACAGAAAACAAAGCAATAAAGCCCGCAAGGTAGGGCTCTTAAGCTCTTTCTAGCAAGGTGGCTCAGAAAGTTGTCAAAAGCCTTTGTGCGGCGGCTGAGCTTTTTGTGAGCAGGCCGCGATGTGTCTGCAGAACTGGACCTCCAATGTTTGCCCCAACCTGCGAGGCACGCCCCCAATGGCACTCCTGGCACAGGAACAATAAGGAACATAAAAGGAACGTAAACGTGTGACTGAAGCTTGCAAGCGCTCTCTAAGCACTTTCTTGATCCACGGGTTTCCCCATTCTCCCCCCGAATCTCCACATGAACTCCTCGGATGAGATCCGCTTCGAGTTCTGTTGGCAAGCTTGAGGCCATGCTCACCAAACTGCCCACCTCGCGCACAAAACCATGCCGGAACAGCCAGGTGTGCAAGGACCGCTCTGTGGCACCTTATGCTGCCGCACGCTGCCCTGATACCCTGAGTGCGGATGGTTCTGATGCTACCTCCTTGGCCCAGCCCGAAACAGCAAGCCCGAAACAGCAACGCTGCCTTCTCCACGCCAAAGTCAACATCGGACGGCGATGTCGTCGGCAAGCTCGAGTTCAGGCTTGACGTTCGATCCACGGCGTCGCCGAAGTCCAGCTCAGACGGTTCGCGCGAGTCGCCATCAAAAGCCCCAAGTTCTTCTGATGCCATGCCCGGAAAAAGCAGCGCTTTTGGCACCGCAATGAGCCGACCATGCTGCAAGGCAAGGGTATTGGGACTGCATAAGGTGTGAGTGCTGTGATCGAAACCCCTCTACCGTACCCGGCACATGGTGCCAAAGGTGACGACCTCTTCTACCTGCAAGGCTCGGGCGAGCTTGAGAGAGCCGCCCTGACGGTGGCGCAGCTCCACCTTTCATTGTGCGAGACATCCCCCAGCCAGAGAACTTCTTCAAGGGAATTCAAAAGGAGAATTCCAGAAGCATATCGATTTTCTCGGCAAGGCCTGGGAGGTCCACAGCTTCTGTGGCTGGAAGCTGTCGATGTCCCGCTGCCTTTGGACACAGAAACCTTCCAAGGCATGCAGTGGTAACGCCCACACTGGAACTGGGTTCTGTTTAGCTCTTTAGCTAGACAGAGTATGGCAACATATGGCAACCTTGCCTAGCGCAGGGGTCTGGCAAGGTCCGTATGTGATTGATCGGGTGACCTCTGCAGGACATCACAAGACCTACGGAAATTGATGCCAGGACACCAGGCATGCGGCATGAGATGTGGTGACATTAGGCCCCAACACCTCTTTGCACGCTGCCGAGGCGCGTATCCTTGAGTTGACCTAGGCGTTATTTGTTCGCGCCCTGGGCAACCGGTGCATCCAGGGGGCTGGGCTGCGCACGCGTGAGCAGCGTGCTGAAGGAGATGCCGACCCGAAGGTCCAACTCCTCAGCTCAACAGGCTCCCCAGCGCCTCGACCTGTGCTATGCGCTGTGTGCCAACGTGCTTGGCAAGATTTTTGGGGCGCCAGCCTGCCGCGCATCAACACCCTGCGCCACCGCCATGTCTGGACGACCCAGTGCCTTGAAGGATGCGGCGACCTGGCGGGGGCAAAGCCAGTCTCAGAAGCTTCACCGGAAAAGGCTTGTGGCCGTTCGTGTCTTTGGTCCGCAAAGTCTGCACAAAGTCAGTCGGGACAAATTCATCGCCGTGTTGGCAACTCCTTTGGGGATAAACACACAGCCCCGTGATCGGAGTGCCGATGACGGCAACTGGCTAGCACGTTGAAATCGCACCGTGCTAAACCACAAGTTAAATACTGAAATCAAGTCAAGCACATGTGATACACATGCTGCATAAAGGGATATAAAAGGCCTATGCAGTGGCATATTTGCCAATGCCAGCCGTCTGTTTCAGTTGCTCGAACGACAACATCATCCATGCAACTGTGCTTGCCTGGCCAGCTATGTGCAACTCAAACGCTCGTGGAAACCAGAAGAGCTTTCAAGAGCTTCAATCACCTGCAGTGAGCATCACCCTCCGGTGCCACAAGACTGGCAAGTTTACCTCTCTCACGCACTTGCCCGTCTCTGTATCGAAGCTACGTACATGAAGCTGAATGCCAATGCCACTACCCAGATCTACCAGCCTCAAGCACCCGGCAGCGTTCGCGTTGCCTGGCAGGTGAGAAAACAAAGGCCTCCAAGGGCGATTACAAAAAAAAACAACAAGCATATTGCCTCCAGCTGTGCGCTTTCAGAGAAGCTTCAAACAAACTGGAAAGCTCCTCATGCTCCGCGCAGCTATGATCACAAAATGTGCAGGGCACCGGGGGAGCCTCTGGCTCGACGTCCATGGGATGAGCTTGTGGCTGTGCTTTGGTGACGGGCAGGGATTCCTCCTCAACACACAGCAGGCACAGCTGGGCGGATACAAGGACAATCCGTCGCTGTTTTGTCATCCCGCTCCCAGCATTGCTTCCCGAAGCTGGCGGGGTTGCCACGGGCAAGCGCAAAGTCAATAAACTCTTTAAACCTGACAAGTTCGTTGCCATGCACGCTAACTGCCACCAAACTGCACCCCACATGTTTGCAAAAGCTTCATGAGCTTGAACACAGCGATGGGTCCCACGCGTATAGGGAGACCTGCTAGGATCATTTGGATGCGAGCGCCGCTCCAGTTCATCAGATAGGTCTTTCATATCTTTCTCCTCCTGCCGACAACAGGTTGACGAAGGAAAGACGAAGACCCTGAAACACAACCCGAATCTGAAAGCCATTGAGAAGCCTAAGATGCCCAGGAAAGCAAACGGCGGTTTGAGTCCTTGAGGCGGAATGGACCTCCAAGAGGCTGCGGGTAGTCCTTGCCCAGCACACAGCCGCCTCAGATGCGCGGCTTGGCATTACTGTGCCAGAAACGGCGGCATTCTGGAGCAGCCGTTCATGTTGCAGAATGAAAACGCGCAGCGCAGAGTAGCAGTGCAAGATATGCATCTCAGGGCTGAGAAAGTCACACACACACACACACACACACACACACACACACGTATCCGGAGGTCTCCCTGCCGCTACTCTACTACAAGAACTCTTCAGTCAAGTGTTCAACAACTACCAGCCCAATGGCAATCCATATGTGGCCATGTGTGCGCGTATCTTGCACCATAACTCACAGCCAGTGTAAAACAGATAGCGCAGGAAGACTGTAGCAGCACTGTGGCATTGATGAATTGATGAATTGTAAGAGCAGGCCCTGTAAGTTGTAAGACATCCCCACCAAACGAGCTCCTCGCAGATCTGCCTTGTTACACTGCACGATTTGGCTCTGCAGCTTCAGCCTAGTAACATTGGACCATCTGCTCCTGTGTCATTGTCCACGGCTCATGGATATGCGCAGGATCCACACTGGCCAGTTCTGGCAACCAGCGCTTGATGTAGGATCCAGAGGCATCGTTTGCCCTTGGATTGCACTCCGTACTCTTGAGACCAGCCGTTTGTTGCATAAGAGAAAAGAAGGCGATGGTCACGCCCAAACCCCCGCGCCCTAAATGCGCGAAAAGCTAAGACCGATTCAATGCTCTCCCTTGACAGGAGACCCTGGAGGCAATGTCGCACCAAAAACCTCCCTGCCCCTGAGCCCAAAACACCAAATCCTTCAACGCAGTTCGTTCTGAGGGTCTTTTCTGCCGTCAGCTTCCACTCGAACTCCTCGAGCTTCCAGGCTGCAAGGTCTTGCAGTGAAGTGAAGCCATGGGCTCCACGATTTTGCTTGTCCACCTGGAACCATGTTTGTTGTAACATCATACGCTGCGGCTCAACATCCTCACAGATACCTGACCCTCTGAGAGCATCAGACTTGCAGTGCAAAGAAATTGTGTGACACTTTAGTAGGCGAGGCTCTTTCAAGACCCATGAGAAGAACAATGGTCGAGTTGCCACATGCGTGCAGAGTTTTCGCTAAAGCTAAAACCTTCGCGCAAAACATTGCACGGGTTGTATTGGGGGTTGGCAGAAAAATCTCGCACTGACCGTGCAAAGCGAGGTTGGTCTTGCACCCGTGCAATCCAGCAGCAGCAGCGGCGGCAGCGGCGGCAGCGGCGGCAGCAATTTCTCACCCCCCACAGCTCTGATATGGTGGTGCTCGCCCCCCACAGCTCTGTTATGGTGGTGTAGAGTTTTCTGGAAATAGCCAACGTGAAAAGAGGCACCTACATGTATTGAGCATGTGATGTCACAAATTCTCTCCTTTCCAGTGCATCGTTCTGAGATGGACTTGGCTGGTCGACGTGTCGGAAATTGAGCCTTATGCCCGCCTCCCTTCCCCCCACGTTCCAACCTTCATCTTCTGCGTATGAACCCCAACAACTCCTGTCCACCCGTACCTTATGAACTCCCGAACAGGCTGGATGCTGCGGAATCCACTCACAGGCTTCTCTGTCAAAGCCGTGCCTTCTGTGTGCTTCGGACAAAGGCGACCCCGGCCGAGGCGGGTCGTGCGGAGTTGAAAAAAAATGCCACCACCGAGTGAGGAAAGTGGGGAACTAGCTGCTGAGCTCTTCCCGGAAAGACCACATGGGGCAAGGTCGACTCTCGTGCTTCGCAACGTAGTATCCCCACTGTTTCGGGAGCTATTTGGGGATTAAGAAACATGAGAACAAACTTGGCCCATGGCGCCGCCTCGGCAACAACAACCCAATTCCCATAGTTCATGGCAACGTCGTAGTCGAGGAGCACATCCTCGAAGTGGAAGGCGCCCCATCGCCAATCCAAACCCAAGATGAACACGAAGTAAAAGCCGCTGGTCTTGCGACCTGCCACGGAAAGACTACAAAAATCACAATGGCTCAGCCCTTCTTTCTTCGGTCACTTAGGACTTAGGGGGCGAAGTTTCTGAAGGAACACGGCGCATATGACGGCCTTTGTAAGCTAGCCAGCCGGTCTGCTTCAGCTCTCGCATGCAGGCATCAATGTATGGCACTCCGGTTCGGCCAGCCTGAAAAGTCAAAGACAGATTCTCACCCCGTGTGGTCCATGCCCTAGAGTAAGTGCAGCGATCTTCTTGCTTGCATCCTTCTTTTCCCAGAAGTTAAGAAAGAAACAAAAAAAGCAGCGCCTTCCAAGCGTCCACCATGGAAGTGTCCCATGACCAGGGGCGCTCGACGCGACCGGGGCCCTGAAGCCAGAAGAGACGGCGGCCCCACCTGTAACCGCCAGTGCTGTGTTCGAGCTGTCATGGTTGCATACGAAGAGTTGACTACCACATCAGGGTAGTGATGGGAGCTTCACTGCTACTGTTTGCCTTACCTGAAAGGTTTTGGCACAGCTTTTCTAACAGCCGCCCTGCAAAGATGTTCCTTAGTGTGTCTCTATCTCGCACCTGATCGCATTGAGGCGATGAAGCTCACGCCAAAGCAGCCGATGCGCAACGCCGTTGTAGTTTGGCGAGTCTTCAGCTCGAGCCAGAATCTCCTAAGATGCGGCGCGAGCTCGAACCCTTGGTGAAGATTCGGTGAGGATACTTAAGCGCAACCATGTGCAGTACAAGCATCTCGGGCTGAGATGCAGCCAACTGCCATGTAGTGGGACACCTTGCTCGACAAACACAAAGCCGGTGCTCATGATCTTGAAAGGTTAGTAGAAAATGGTGCGTCGCACTTCGTTGCACTGTTGCACTTGCACCCTGCATCTTGTAGATGAAAAATGATGAGAAGTGGCTTTTCTTCACAAGGCACCCGCAGCCAGCCGTCGGGGCGAGCGAGGTTCGCCCACTGCAGCGGGTCATTTCCGGAGGCCTTATCCTGGCCACCAGTGGGCAAATCCCAGAAGACGGGGAGCTCCGCCAAGGGCGCCTCCAACAAGCATTGCAAGGAGACTGCAAAGAGACGGCAAAGGAACATCAGGCCCATGTAACTCCACAGTCATCTGTCTACTGCATCAAGAGGGAGAGCCTTCTCCGCGCGGTCCTCCTGCAGCCACTGCTCAAGCCAGGCCCTCGCCGAAGCCTCACCTCCCGGCGAGAGCTCCTGTGCCATGGCCTCGCATCGTGCAAAATCTCGAAAAGATGCGGAGAAAGTTGTCGAAGCAGTCGAAACTTGAAGCAACATAAGATCTTTTGAGCTCGCGTGCCATAAGCATAAAACCGCTCAACCACGGAGCCTCGGAGAAGCATGCTTAACTGGCCTCGTCAATCTCCTGATTGTCGTAGCCCAGGAGCTTTAGCGCTTCCTTGGCTCAAGACGACTCTCCACGGATGACGGAACAGAGGTCTCTTCCTCGAAGAAGTTAGACCAGACCATTCAAGCGAGTTTCACGCTCGTTGGCCAGCACCGCAGGGCTTATTGTGCCAGGCAGCTCGTTGGGAAGGACCTGAGCTCAAGACAGGTTGCCATCGGGAGCTCCGCATGCCCACGGCAAGATCGGCAAGATCCTGACCAAACGTATGGCGTAAGCAAAGGGCACCATCGAGAGCCAGAATGCAAGACAGGCACGGCAGGCAAGGCACGCGGCAAGAAAAATGGAAGAGGTCCAGAACTATATAACATATTATATAATATGTATATATATATATATATGTGTGTGTCTTATTATATCTTATACATGTAAGGTTAAGTTTGAGTCATCCAGGTCACCGCGCGCTTCGGAAAGATCTGAGGCGCCGCTACGGGGAAGCGGATTGGGGTGGCATCGCTCGACCGAGCTGGCGAACGCCAGAGGTCCTCCCACAGGCCGCCATTGGGCCGCGCATCCCCTTTTAAACGGAGCTTTGCCGCGCAAGAACCGCGCTTCACCAAGTAAAAACTCGGCATTGCGGTCCTCCCAGCCGAGCGTGAGCGTGAGTTCGGTGTAGTTGCCTGGCGAGGCTGTGAGGCCGAAAGGCAGGTCCTGAAGCGAGGGAGGCTAAGGGCTCAGACTGTCATACTGGCCATACTGGCAAGAACAATCTGGAATCTGCGCACCCTTGAAAGTCTCCTGACAGTGGTAGAGGCTCATGGCACCCCACTCGCGCCGCAGCTCGCTGCCGTGGTGTTGCAGAGAGGCCGCCACAGCGTCTTCCACGTCTGTTTGCTCTGGTGAGACAGGCTCCTTGTCTAAGCCGAAGACTCTCCTCTTGGGGGGCCCCCTTGCAAGTTGCAGTCAAGTTGCGCTTTGGCAGATGACCAACGATCCTTGCGGCAGCGATGCCAGAGCATCCTCTGGTCTGGCATGGCAAACCTTGGATCCCCGAAAATGGTGGTCCCACTGCCCAAGCAGTTGGTGGCTGATGGCACTTGCAGTGATGCGACTTCGGCTCACTTGCCTTACCCTACAAGATCTGCCATGAGGAAAGAGAAGCGCGTCTGTTGATACTAATTGCGAAAGAGTTGCCACGAACTCGCCACCACGCTTCACTATGTCTTCACCCACTGCTCGAACACACTGAAGCCAAAATCGGGCTCGGAGTGCGCAAGTCTTGCGATTGCCGAAATCGACCTGACATCAGAGGGGACATCGATTGCCCAGCGTGAGCCAAAGCAGGCCTTAAGCATCTTCTTCCTAAACCGTCAAATTCAAGCCTTAACCCCAACACCAGAACCACCCCTCTCCCCATGTCAAGAAATCCTCTCGCTCCAACAATGGCTGTCAAGCTGCTGGCTTGCGAGTGCTGATGGACTTCTTGAACTCAGGATCCGTAACACGTCCATAGTGTGAACCTTGTTGGCAGCAAGGTTCACAGTCTGCTTAAGCCACAGCGCCAGCAAACGGAAGCACCCGAAAACACCACAAATGCACCAAAGAGGCGGTCCAGGAATCGGGGGTCAAACACGAACACCGACAACAGCGGGCGCCCGTCTGTAAGGGCTTCAGCCACTGCTGCTCTTGCCACCGGATTGTCCTCACACTGACTCCCGCTTCCCAGCCCTGACCTTTAAGCTCTCTAGACAGCCTGCCGCATACGCCAAGATGGACGGTACCGGAAGCTATCTCTATCTGAAAGACAGCCGCCGAGCGGACTGTGGATGTCAAGTTGGCTCTTGGACGCTTTCGTTTCTTAAGTGTCGAACGAACGTTTGGGTGAGGCTTGGAAGAGTCCCAATTTTCCGAAGCTGTCCAATCGTGACTTCACGGGACACCAGTATCTGTCCTCAGCCATAAACGAAAATTGGGGGGGGGGCATCAGTGATGAGTTTTTGAATGGGACCGTGGAGCTTGGAGCTTTGTGGATCAAGTCTACACCGCCGCCCAGTGCTTGTCTTTATGAAAAAGGAGAAAGGCAGAAGGTCTCCTCCATGCGCAAGTCGTTCCGCAGCCACCACACCACCGGGCCCGCGGCCCGTGGCTTCTTCCAGGCCGGCGCAAGCGCCATTCTGTTTGTAAGTCTTGGCGGTTCTTGCTGCCAGCCCTGTGTCTAGGCTATGGCTTGATCCAAACTACTTCAGCAAGAGGGCCTTCAAACCACGCCGAACCACTCCCAGCTAGCACAAGGCCGCCAGCACCCGCAGCCTGGACCCACATCCGGCCTCTTCCCGAGTGAGCGCAGAGAAGATGGCCCGATGGACATTCCTGGCCATGGCCGGCCGAACTTAGGTCGTGTGATCACGGCATGGCACTACGTGTTATGCGATGACTGGGAAGACATATTGGTTGACATGTTGTCATGTGTTGTCATAATGTCCAGGGCACATCATGGGTCCGAACACGTGGCTTTCCGAAACATGGCCAGGCCCGCGAGTTGTCCGGGAACCACTCCTTGCACACAGCAATCACCTGCCCAGTGTGTCGGAGCACGGTGTGACGGTATACTGTAACACACACACACACACACACACACATACACCCTCGTCGATACGTGATGAGTGAGATGACATCCCATGTCCACCAGGCACATGCACCTAACTACCGCCTCTGAGGAGCTCCAGCTGGAAGGGTCTAGGACCCCTTGAGATGTTTGGGGATACGGCTGACTAGGCATACTAGGCACGGTAGCAATGTACTTGTACTTGAACAGTACTTGTAGTATGAACGAAATCAATAACATTGGTGTTAATAATCATAATACTAGTATTAGCATAGTATTGGCAACTGTGCAAAAAAAATGCCCAAAGATGAGCCCCTCGGGATGGCAGCTCGCCTCGAAGCCGATGTTCTCTCCCTCACGATCTGCGTCCTGTGATTCCCCAAATCAGCGAATCCGCCCCCCTCCCCCCCCCCCCTCCAGTAAAGCTAACCTTAGGGTTTTGGGTTTAGGGTTTAGGATTTTGGGTTTAGGGTTCGAAGGTTCTACCAGCTGTCACTGCACCGGGCCACTCTGTTGCACCTTCTGTCACAGAGGCCCCCTAACACGAAGCCCCAAACCGGCCACGGAGAAAAAACAGAGAGCGGTCCAGCCACAGGCACAGCTGTGACGACCCCTGCGCCAGCTCCTGGCAAGTACGGGCTTTTTCAGGTCCGCGTCGATGCATGTCGATTCCTGACTCATGCCTTCCTGGCGTTTACGGCAATCACTCCTAAACCCTGAACCCTAAACCCTAAACCCCAATATCACAGCCCTCCGCAAGTCCTGCAGATGGTCAGCCACACGGGCCTTGCGCGCGCTGTCAGTGAAGGTCTTCACCACGGGTGCCTTGTTGCCAAGAGCCGGGGTGCACCCAGATCTTCCAAGACCCCTTAACCATACCCTAATTCGTAATAATTATCCTTAGTATAGGTTAGGGTGTATTCCGTAACTAGGGAACATACCCTTATTCATATTAATTATCCTTAGTATAGATTAGGGCATGTTCCCCAATTAAGGAATACACCCTAATTCATAGAATACTGGGCCTTAGTATAGATTAGGGTATATTCCGTAATTGAGGGGGTCTTGGAAGATCTGGTGTAGGGAGCCATGTAAGCCGGCAAAATGGCCGGCAACATAAAATAACCTTCATATAGTAATATAATCATCTACTGACCTTATATAAAGATGCATAAATATTTACATATATATATATATATAACCCAAGAAACCGCATGATAGGATATAATCAATTACCAAGCACACAGAATTATAAAAACACAAAAAGCAATAAACGTATATGGCATTGTAAAAAGAAATGCACTATGAAAAACAAGAACCGTATATGGCCACCAATAAAAATTAGTACCTAAACCCTAAACCCTAAACCCTAAACCCTAAACCATCATTGAAGAAGAATTGCCTAATGGCACCTCGTAGATCTGCGCCAGTTGCTGTGGAAGGCGGCCATCCTCAGAGTCTCACTTTATTTGGAGCCGAGGCAAGAAGAGCACCCTGGTTTAGGGTTTAGGGTTTAGGGTTTAGGGCTTAGGGTTTAGGGCTTAGGGCTTAGGGCTTAGGGCTTAGGGCTGAGGGCGCAAAGCACCCTGGATGTCTCGGAGCCTTGCGAACTCCAGCTGAAACAAGTGGCCAATCACCTTGCAGGACACGCGAAGAACCGATGTGTCTGCGATGTTTGGGGCAAGGACACAATCTAACTTTGCAAGCCACAGTTGAAGATCTTGCACAAGATTTGTACAACCAAGGCACCCTGGGACCCCACTTGAACAAGGGGTCAGGGGGTCGAGACTGCCGAGACTATGGCAGGTCTCAGGCTTCATAGCTGGAACCCTTCTCTTTCCCCCGAAAATTCGCCGAGGGCACTGAGGTCACGCAGATCACGCTCCGCTGGCCGGTGGGCCTCAGGGACTCACAGAGGCAAGTCGCACGTCTCCTGAGTTGACATCTTCTGAGAAACCCGCGGAAAGTCAGCCGCAAACTCCAGCACGGGACATGCCGAAGACAAACCCCTTCCGCGAGATGTCGTGTACAAGCAGACTGGATGGGCGAGAGGACACCACAGGATCACAACAGGCAGTGGAAGGTGATAAAAAAACATTAGACAACCGGAGACAGAAGCAAGCAATGCATTCATCATGAGTCATGCCATGCCAGTCAGGACAGGTTCATTGGCAGGGTCTGTTCTCTAGTTAGTGTACCACTCGTTTACATCCTTCTGAACTTCTACAGTGACCGTACGTCTTGGAGCTCCGTCTCCAGTTGCTCTTTCCAAGCCAGCTCGTTGGGGGGGGGGGGGGTTGGGAATTTGGGGGGGTACCTTGTTGGGGTCCTTTTTGTTGGCTTTTTTAATTGGGGTGGCAATAGTAATATTCGCCAGGCCAGAGGGCCCCAGCCGAAGACTCCTTTCCATTACGGGAGGTTTTCGGGCCGATGTATGTAAACAAGTCTAGAGAGGGGGGTCCGGTGAGAATAAGAATGGGGTGGCAATTGTAAAATTTCTCTGGCCAGGAATTGAAAATTTTACTGAAAACGGCTTAAGAGTTCCATTGCAGAGAAGACTTTTCAGCTGAGCTGGCTTGAAAGAGCTCCAAGGCTCAGTCTTTAGAGAAGCAGATCTCGTTTGAGATTAAAGCAAAGCAGACCCTGACAGCTGACCCCCCCCAAACCCCCAGACCCCAGACCCCCAGAATCCTCATAATTGACACCCCCTCTTTTTTTCCACCCCCTCCAAGCCCCGGGGACCAAAACAAGATTTGGGGGGGGGCGGGGGGTTTATTAAAGCGACCCTAACATTATTTGGGTGAATATCTTAGGGGTCCCTTGTCTTTCGTAGACTCTCATGTGACCTCTCTGATTTCAGACGGTGGTGGATGCTCCGCCTTCGCTCCCGCAGCCGTTCAGACTGAGGGCAAAGGAATTCTGCGATCAGTCGAGCCACGGAAGGCTTCTCAGCAACCATGAGCACCTCCCATCTCACCAGCTCATGGGTTTAGGAAACCAGCTCATGGGTTTAGGGTGACAGTTGAACACCATGAACTCTGGGTATCTCTGGGTCCTATGGAATATGGCTCTTATGGTGGAGTTCTCGGGGACTTGGGCCTCTCTTGGGTCTCCAGGCGTCTTTGTGATCCTATCCCTCTTCACTCTTGTTCATATGTGGCATCCGAAAATGTGAGCAACCACTGCTGAACACGACCAAAGTCTAACAATTAGAGTGTCCAGGTGTGACAGAGTCATCACGGTATCTCTCTTGGGTATAATGACGCCTGGCAAACATCAGAACGTCCACCCAGCAGGCATCATGCGTGTATGGCATGCACATGTCAATGTGCGCACCAGGCCGAATCCAAGAAGCCGCCTGCGGAAGCCCTTCTCGCCAGCGATTTCGCTGCTGCAGCTGCTCTGCATATACCTGTGACCACAAGCTGTTTCGAAGTGGCACGGCCTGCGGGCGGCATACGCCGCAGAACCCGCGCAAGTTAATCTCCCAATCTCCCAAGCCCTGAGCCTCGAAGCTGCAAGAACATCAAAGCCTCAAATGGACCAAAGATTCGTTGCCCAGCCTCTGGATGCTTTGAGAGGTACGTGAAGTAAGCTCGGTCGTCCTGCGCAATTCATGGCTGGGAACAGTGCAGTTGCGTGGCGTTACGAGTCGGGCTTGCGATCGATCTGTCTTTGTCTTACAATTTTAACACGCAAGACTTTGAAAGTTTAGATGTCTAGCCCACAAATACCAGACCGGAGCCTGAAACTCTAAACGCTTCAACGCTGCTCTGACGACCCTCGGCCGAGGATCCGGCAGCTTTGCGCAAAGCCCAGGCTAAGCCAGTTGCATCTGACACGATTGGAGGGTGTGAGGCTTTGGACGTGTGTACAACAGGTGTAACGAGAGGCGGCCAGGCACATAACGAGAATCTGGGTAAGGTATCCGATTGACCAAAGATTGTAAACCAGAAACAGGAATTGCCGAGGATTGTTGCAGGATTCGCAGATGGTATTTGCAGGTTCGGGTGAACCCTCATTAAGCTGATTCCTGCTGAATCTTCGGACATCCACCAGCCATCAGGGTTCTTAGCTGCTTCTACCGACTGTTGTCTCCATTGACTGGCACCCCGTTGCCTCATGTTGCCTCGTTGCGAGGGCCCGAAACGCTTGCCCACGCAGAGTGCTTCAGTTCTAGAATCTCAGAAAATTTTGGGCGAATGGGCGGTCCCGGCCCGGTATGCGGCTTAATTTCTGTGCCAGCACTGATGTGTTCAAGGCGGCTGCGGGCGCAAGCCGCAGCCCTCCTTGATTCTGCCTGGACTGCTGCCCTTCCAGTGCTGTGTTTGATGCCCTGCTGTCCCTGCGCGCGAGACCCCCAAAGGGCCAAACTCCGCTGTCAAGCATGGCATGCGCACAGCTCCTCTACTCTCAAAGCAAAACCGACAGATGCAGAGCGACGCCAACAGGTCACGTGTTTCAACGCTGTTGCCCCCAGACACAACAAGCGCAGGAGAAGCTGAGGCCTTTGGCACCCGCTCGCCGACTCCGACTGACTTTCCCAAGCACAGCTGCCTCGGCACAGGACCCACAATATGTCGTAAAATCCCAGAAAAAATCCAACGAACCTCCCCCTCAACAAGCCCCAACGTTCGAATGCCAAGCCAAGCGCCAAGTGGTCTTCGTCCAGCTCCGATAGTGCGCTGCCGGCCTCCCTTGGCAGGAACCAGTCGCCAATCTCACATCTCGTGCCAAGGCAGAGCACTGCTGAGGCCTGCACTCCTGCTGTGCTGGGGAAGCGCCCTGCCAACAGCAACGTAAAGCCACAACTGCCATCAGAACGTCCCAAGAACATGGTAACGTGGGGACCCCGCTGGCCTTGCAGGACTGAGCTGCCAGCCACCCAGCAGCCACCTCAACTGCCAGCGAATCGCTGACTCGCCAAGAGTGGCAGACGTGCCTCATCGCATGCGTCCTGCTTGATGCCCTTCCTGGCCAGGGCAGCTATTGTAGCCGTTTACACTTTTCTTCGTATTGATTCTATAGTGATTCGCCTTGCTATTTTCAAGTACAAATAGCCCTCGTCGATCTTGAGTGCCTCCGCAGCGCCTGCCCCAAGTCTTGCCGAAGAGCAAAGCGTGGGAGCCTGAGGACTCCGGAACTTCAAAATGGGAGGGGTTTAAGGGTTTAGGGTTTAGGGCTTAGGGTTTAAGGTTTAGGGTTACAAGGACTTCGGGCTTAGGCTAGTTGAGGGACAACATGGGCCCAACAAAATCCCTCCGTTGCAAAGGTGTAAGTTCCTTGGGGTTAGGGCCCAAGCCTTCGGCTGCTCTCAAGGAACTGCAAGCACTCCCTGATTATCCCAGTGTTTTCTTAACCCAACAAGCCCTACTTGGAGGTTCCTGGATTACAGTACCAATAAGTATGGAGTAGGATTCCCCCAGACTTACAAACAAACCTGTTTGGGGTACCTATAGCCTTCCTTTTAACTACCCTCGAACCTCCAAATACAACACTTCGGCGGGCACCTGCGCGCATCTCCACGCAGCCTTTGGAATGCTGAGAGGCACAGCAGCGAACCTCCACCAAGACATGTAGGGGATGGGGTCCCCTTGAAGACACACTGCTTGTATCTTTCTGTATTCGTCAGTCAATCATACGCCGGACGGTGCATGGACAGGAAGGTGCGACGCACATTTCGATACATACTGCGCAGTCGCGGCTGGCCAACTGCAGGATACGGCTGTCCAGAAATTGGAAGCTCAAAGCTCTACTCAGTGCTCCTAACACCAGAAACTCATTCACGTCTGGGTCCAGGCACTCGCCTCACATATCTGCTGGTTGTGGGCCGGAGGGTCCCAGGAATGAATGCAGACGTGCCATGGAATCCATGGATTGTCGAGCAAAAGAAGTTGGCACCGTGCGGGCATATTCGCAGCTTTGACTGATGCAACGACGAAGTCCATGCCCTGGTAAACCGTCGTGGCTGATAACTTGAACCGAGGTAGTCCATACCGGCTTTTGGTTCAATACGTTCCCAACTAGGTGTGAGAAAGCAATACGTGTATGTACATACTGATTGATTTATTGATTCTCGTTTATTTACATATTTATGCATCTTGAACAGGATCGAAAGATCAGACCCCCTTCCACCCGAAAAGAGGCAGCCAGAAAACCCATTTAGTAAATTTAGGACTTTAGAGTTTCGCCGTTGTCTGCTTCCATGATATTCTATGACGTGAGGGGCCTCGTTGGGGCGATCCTTCTTCTGAGAGCTCAGAACGGCGCTTGGCTTCTAAAGACAACATATCAGGGATGCCTGAAAGGCATCTCATGGGAACAGATCAGAGCACTAGCAGCCCCTGCTTGTCGCGCGCACCAAGCAAACAAGCGCCTGCAAAGTTGAGATGAAGAGGTCGGCTTCCAGACGCCTGGCTGTTGGGGTTCACATGTGGGCAGTTCCCGATTGGGACCCCCCAAAGGGTAACGTTCATCATCGAACCCCTTAAATACATACACACACATGGACAGGGACTCTGGCTTGCAACTATCCCCACATACAGCCGCCAGTTTCTAACCATTCGCGGGATGCAACAGCTTGGCATGGGAGACAGTGAGGCTCAAACCGGACACGCCGTCCGGGAGATACCACCCCGCTCCTTTGGCGAGGCCCTGCACAAAGGTCAACAACGCAACCAGCCAACACGGCAGTTTTTTTGGAACAGACAGCACGGATCAGCACGGCCTGGGGGCGGAAGGTGGCACAAACATCACAGGTGCATCATGCAACCGGAGTGCTGTCCGTTCACGAGCACCCTCTCGCAAGTGATGGAAACTGCCATAAGCATTTAAGCTCCTCCTCTACTACACTACATGTCCTTTGTCCTTGTTGTCCACGCCGTTTTACGGTTGTTTGCATGTTGTTTTCGGCATCCAAGCATGATCTATCACGATCGCTGCTAAGTGGCGGGGGAAATAGCCCAGGCAAAGCAGATATGTCAGAAACCCTAGGCACGTGATGTCTCAAACAACCTGTGCCCGAAACAGCTCCAGCGTTGACTACGGTCGCTGCCACTACTGGCTTAGTCGACAGCACGCACATGAAAAGGGGTCTTTCTGCTCAGAAGGCTGGCAGCTCGTAGGTCACAGCACCACAGCGGTGGCACCTCGAAGGGGGCGCTACAATGCTGCAGGGCTCAACCAGCGAAAGCAACAGAAAGATATCCCTCTGTCAGCAGCCGGCAGCAAGACGAGCTTTAGATCCGAATACTTAAGCCCAAGTTGTCTCCGTTTGTCAGTGTGTCTGACCTCCGCACACAGGCCACGACAGGTCCAGGTTGCGAGCACCCCTCGTGCTGACAAGCGTTGCGACCTCCTTGCCCGAAGTGCCAAGCCAAAGACCCGAAGAATTGGATAAACATCAATGGACATCGAAGGCCTTTGCGCCAGGCCTCGGAGGCCAACCAAAAACCCAAACCAAAACTTGAGGACCTCGGGGCTCTGCTGCGCTTCACAGCGGGAAAGATGAAGAAACACACTGAGCCTGTGCGGTGGGAAAATCCGCTCGGCTGCATTCAGATGTACCGCTGCATTGTCAGAAGGTGAGTGCGATGCCTCGTTTGCCGGATGGGTTCCAGCATGCTCGTGCAATCGATGCGACGCAGCTCGTTGACTGCACCCGTGTGACGTTTGTCCAGACCATCGCTGCATTACTGTTGTGTCATTCAGCCTGACAAACGGTGGGTTTAGTACAAGGTGATTCAGTTCATCGCTTGGGTGCTCCCACAGCGTTGAACCTGGGGCGTTGCTTCCTTGGAGCCTTGGAGCTTCCATCGTTATCATTGTCGAGCGAATGTGGGCAGTCGCACGTATCTGCACTCTGACGTAGTGTCCGCAAGTGCCTGTCCTGCTGTTGCGCGCGCCGCACGGGCGTCATCGGCTAAGGCTGTGCTTCCGTGTTCTCCTCGCGTGGTCTCCGCGCATGCCCAAACAGCGATCATCAGCGATCCATACACAAATCCACACATTACACACATGCGCTCGGCACCTGCCCTGTTCAAATCCTTCGACCACGGCGGCGCAGGCTTTGCAGCGCCGCTGCCAGGCAACCTCGCAACTTGCGATGTCATGCGACGCGCTGCCAAATGACCGCTAGAGGATCCGTGGCACCCTACACGCGCAACATCACAAAGTACTGTCACGCACGCACATCTCTGATTCGCGCACCTTTGTGGAGTTCAGTGTCAGCAGCAGATTTCCGAAAGTCCTCTTGGGGCTCTGACAAGCAAGTCACGCAACATGCGAGCATGCGGTCCTCAGCTTGCCCTCTTTGTGCTGCGCAAGGATAGCAGCATGGGCCGCTGACCTCTAGCGATGCTCTCTCTGGCACTTAGGCCGGTCATCCTGCGAGGCTACCAATGACACTA